CCATTTGATGAATACTGTTGAAGGTTGAACATGTAAAAGTCCATGCATCTTTGAACTGGAACTCGGACAGTATCTAGACACAGCGGTAGCCAGCAGGAGCTCGGGGCTCACACTTCCTCCTCCAGCCACATGTGTGGTCGGAACATGATCCAGCCAGGGCCTGTAACAACAGATACATGGACGATGTTTAAATCATTTCTCCCACACTTTACTATAATCTCTTTAGTCGCCTCTTACCACAAGCATGGGTTACTGAAGATCAATTCTAACCCAGACCTTCACGGGGCAAGTGGTCTTAAAGATGGTCGACGGTGTTCATATTGGCTATTTGCGGGCCTTGGTAATGCTCAATTGCCGGCGCAGTTCTTCGGCAGGGGCAGCGGGACTGCATCTTGCCAGATGAATTAGGTCATTTAGAAAGTGTCAAATGTAACACATGTTTTGAGGGGTTACACTTAGATTCTAGTACTTTTGGGGGTTGAGTCCCATCCGGGATTCGAACCCACACCCTCAGAGTTAGGCGCCTAATCGAAAGCACACGAAGTCAGTCGCTTAATCCACTCATCCACCGGAGCTTCCGCAAAAAATGGAAGTGGGACTCAACCCCCCAAAGTACTAGAATCTGTTTGGTGTTGAAGTAGGTCTCCGTCATCATGGTCATGTATCTTCCTAGAACAACCTGACACTGATGGTAGGAATCCTAGGGTTATCGTGACATGCCCGCGGTATTTATTCGCTGTTGTCCACACTCAGATTAACTGAACCTTGCTTTGACCTATTTGTATACTACATTAATGAACGTGATTAGCTAAGCACTCTATTCGTATATCGTTGTTTCGTTTATCACAAACAGAAAAGGAATAAAACAGACATATTTTGGCTGATGCAGTCGTGCAAAGCAGGCAGTTATTACATCACGGCTCTCTTTAGCTTAAAGTGGTGGGTATTACTGGTAATTTAATTAATGATTTAGAGAAAGCAGTTTATAACATGCAGAGTGTATACGATATTGGCGATAATACCATTATCACATGCAGAAAATGAAAGCAGTCAACGAGCACTCGTTGCAGGTAATCACAGAAAATTGTACAGGTTAGGCAATGTGGTTGTCTGACAATAACGAGAATGCGTTCGTATCTTGTCTCCTTGTTTTATTTAATTCATGCCACTGTCAGTACAGTATTGAGGCTATTCGTGTTAGTACTTCAAGACTTGTCTGCCCTTGTTTCGGGCTTGTAAGTTGTCACGAACGATTAACTGCAAGGTAAGCAAACCCACCATAAAAATGCCACCAAAAATATTATCCATAATCTAACTCATTCAAATATAGCTTTAACAACTCAAGTTTACAGACATTATTACTGCGTACCGTTTTGTAGGCAGACATCCGACCCGTTGTCGACTTCGTGCAAACAAGAATAAATAGAGTTACTTCCCTTGGTTGCATGTAAAGTCGCACTTCGCGATCTACAGGTAAAGCATATTTACGTAAAGTAGACTAACACACCATTAAACATATCCATATTAGGTTTCAGCTCATCTTGTGGTGAAGGTTCAATTGGCCCTTGTACTCGATATAGCTCGTAATACGGGAACATCTTGACCTGAATTATTTAGTTAAAAATATTGCTTAACCAGATGCAATTTTGGAGTTTTGAGATATTGGCAGAAGGTATTTCCGTTTGCGAAGATTGATGTTCATGCTGTTGATCACTGGACTGTCTGGTCCAGACACGATTATTTACAGAACGCCGCCATAGCTGGAATATTGCTGAGTGCGCTTGGATCCCGTTCGCCTGTAAATAATCGAGTTGTCTTACTGTTTCAGTTCGGAAATGGCCACGTTAACATTGCACGACAATTGATTTATTAAATCACTGTAAGAATAGTCCGATCCAGTCTGTCAATCACGTCTGGCGCATGCGTCTACTTGAGCCAATCAGAAGACCGGGCGTGTTTTGTGGATTTGTCAGTGTTACATCCGGAGATAAACATTGCTGCTGAAGAGATGTTCCCTCGAATTATCCTTGCACGCGATATCCATGAGCGTAGCTACCATTATAAAAATACGCCCAGGCTTACACGTGATTTTTGCTAAAAAGGTTGGGCAAGCCAGCAATACTTTCTAAACGTGAAGCTTTGCAACCTATCGGTCTTACACGAACAAAACATGGCTTCCTACGCGCCTGATATCCATTGTGTGTTGCAAGGATGTCATGTCTACAAAACCCAAAACCCAATGAGACAAGACCCAAAGATTTGAGGCGGAGAAATTATCACCGCGGTCATTTAAATGTCAGTAGCACTGTTCCCGAATCCTACTTCTGCTTGGAGGTGAGAATTTGCACGAATGTCCGCACTGTTTGTACATATGCATATTCATTACCAGTAGATGACAAAAAATAAGAATTTGGAAGTGTTATACACACCACATACATCTACATATAAATGATAAGTATTTATATGTAGATGGCTATCAGTGAATGGCACCTGACGAAGGGGCAAGAACTAAAGTACTGTCGGAAATGCTAGAAAAATGCTTTTTGACTTATATTTAAAATTCAGAGGTATTACAGTTACTTAAATAACAAATATCACTTTAAGCAACATCTACCTAAAGTAGACCGAGGGAATAAATTTTAAGACATGCCCTAAAATGTGTTTTTACTGATGAAAATACCAAAAACTTAGAAAAATAACGAGTAGTGGGACGTTATTTGATACAAACATTAACTGCCTGTGTTACGTCATCAGCACACGCTCTGGGGAGGGGTCATCTCAATAGATGTTTTCTTCAAAATGTTGAATATGTGTACGTATAGTATACGTATTGGTTATGTAAGGGATCATTTGTGTATGTGTGTTTGTTTTGAAATAAACATACGAATTACTGTACTTTGGAAAGAATCCTATCATTTGTGTTATCTTGATTGTAGAAATGTGCAACGTTTTAATAAATGTTTTGCATGTCAACAGAATATTTCATTGCAAAAATATAAATGTAATTCGGTCAGTTTAATCTAGTTGTGAACGTTGGCCCAAGGTTTAACGAAGTCACTGGTGTAGCTTCTTTAGAATATATATATTCTTCTTCTCATAAACTTTGTAGACCGCCCGTCTAAGTACTCCCTTGTCAAAGTTGTCAAGGATGCTTTTACGTCCCGGTTTCGCTTTTGAGACGGTCCCTGTCTTGTCTGATTTGTTCACAATATTTTAAACTTGTTGGTAAGACATACCAACAGCTCTACAAATTATGTAATAAACCCTTTCTAAACTAATGAAAGGTTTACCACTGTCTTTTTCAAGCACAAACAACTTGTAAACCTTTGCAACAATTCATTGCAAATAGTTGGCCTTAGTGGACCCTGTGATAAAGATGTGCATGCATGACGGGAAACTTATTTATCAAGACTTAACATTTATATTAATATTTCTTGTATAAAGAAACGATAATTAAGTAAAGTAACACAAACATTCAACATTTATTTCTTAAAGAAAAACGTTGATTCATATTTTTACACCACCTGTATTATTAGCATAAATGTAAAGACTATTTCAGATTTCTGTTGTTGAACTCTGAAAAAATCCTAAGTTGTTGTTTTGGTACCATATTCTCTCCTGTAAACTGCCCTTTAAATGCATGGGAATGTTAAATCGATTGAAATAAAAATTAGGTACACTATAGGCGAGTTGATATATTGACAACATAGTACATTTATCACCTTTATCAAAGTATTAAGGCATTTTCTAGCATTTCCGACAGTACTTTAGCACAGAAACGATCTGGGACGCATTATGTTCTGCAATATAAACCCCATCAGTGAACGAATGTTGGACCCAGGACGTATTATTTTCAGCAATATAAGCCGTATTTATATGAGATGGCTATCAGTGAACGAGTGTTGGGCCCAGGACGTATTATTTTCAGCAATATAAGCCGTATTTATATGAGATGGCTCTCATTGAACGAGTGTTGGACTCAGGACGTATTATTTTCAGCAATATAAGCCGTATTTATATGAGATGGCTATCAGTGAACGAGTGTTGGGCCCAGGACGTATTTTCAGCAATATAAGCCGTATTTATATGAGATGGCTATCAGTGAACGAGTGTTGGGCCCAGGACGTATTTTCAGCAATATAAGCCGTATTTATATGAGATGGCTATCAGTGAACGAGTGTTGGGCCCAGGACGTATTATTTTCAGCAATATAAGCCGTATTAATATGAGATGGCTCTCATTGAACGAGTCTTGGACCCAGGACGTATTATTTTCAGCAATATAAGCCGTATTTATATGAGATGGCTATCAGTGAACGAGTGTTGGGCCCAGGACGTATTATTTTCAGCAATATAAGCCGTATTTATATGAGATGGCTATCAGTGAACGAGTGTTGGGCCCAGGACGTATTATTTTCAGCAATATAAGCCGTATTTATATGAGATGGCTATCAGTGAAGGAGTCTTGGACCCAGGACGTATTTTCAGCAATATAAGCCGTATTTATATGAGATGGCTATCAGTGAACGAGTGTTGGGCCCAGGACGTATTATTTTCAGCAATATAAGCCGTATTTATATGAGATGGCTCTCATTGAACGAGTCTTGGACCCAGGACGTATTATTTTCAGCAATATAAGCCGTATTTATATGAGATGGCTATCTGTGAACGAGTGTTGGACCCAGGACGTATTATCTTCAGCAATATAAGCCGTATTTATATGAAATGGCTCTCAGTGAACGAGCGTTGGACCTATGACGTAATATTTTCAGCAATCTAAGCCCTATCTGTGAACGAGCGTTGGACCTATGACGTATTATTTTCAGCAATACAAACCGTTGTGAAAGACATGGCCAATGTTTGTAACTACAACATTGTTTTTGCTTGATGTTTTTTTGTTTGATGTTTTGGTTTATTTTCATCTTTTTCCTTTTTTATATTTTTTTTAGTTTTTCAAAATCGGGTATTGAGCTCGTCGGTAAGAAGGCTCAACTGAAACAGGCAAGAAAACCGTGATACAATATGAACAAATCTTACAGCGATCTGATTTAGGTTGAGCCGATCAAATTAGCACAATTGATGACATTAAACAACAATGTGGTGGAAATGAGTTGTCTTCTCGCGTTTTCTTGAGTATGTCACGGAACTTTAAATGTATTTTTAATTTTCAAAGGCATAATTTAAAGGCCCATCTATTAGAATTGCAAAATATTCGAGGGTTGATACTTCTCAAAACGGAAATAAAGTCAATGACAACAGTTTTCTATCACGTAAAACTTTTCACATTTATTCATATGTGTAATTCTATAAACTATGCATTGGATACTTCAGTATTTCTTTGAATCAATATGAATATTTGTTGTGTGTCATGCCTTTTTATTGTCTAAGAAAAGTTATTCTTGCATCCACCCTCTTAAAGTTCGTGGCCAAATTGGTACCACAAATGTTGCCAATAGACCCTGTCAATGCATTCTTTCTCGCTCAGCTATCTTCCTACATACTAAACACACAGAAGAAGAAAACGATTATTTATATTTCAGATAATGGGGAATATTTCATTGAAGTTCTTAAATACATGTAGGTCATACCGCTCTTGGACTCCAGCAGCACTTGTCATGACCATGTTTGAAAACGTTTCTATGAGTATTTTATCATATATGGACATCTGGAAAGATCCATCTTCATGGCATGAAGACAGTTTCTGCAATATCAAATTCTCAACGGCATTATAGTGGTCGCTCAGATCATTCAGCCATTTCACCAACCAGCAGCACATGGTCAACAGTAGATTGGCATGATACGTGGACACAAAAGAATTCAGTTACAAACATTCGGTGTGGCTTAAACACAAAGTGAGGTGCTGTTGACCTTATATATAGATTTGAGTCATTTGTTAAAAAATTATATTTTCCCATTTAGAAAAAGCAGAAGACGCTTCACGAAACCATTATATTGACATGGTTATGGATTGTGAAGCAGTCTGCCTATGTTCATATCGAATTTCTTAACTGACAGACAATTGCAAAGATATTTAGTTGATGGATCGCATTTTGTAGATGATTTGTGTCATGAAAACAACTATGACATCCATGAATGCCCGTTGGAAAAGGGATTGACATTTCCAAAGCTAAAACCGAACTGTTCCCACTTTTGTAGCCAATACAACCCTCACAGATACCAAGAACTATCAAAGTTCTTGGAAATAATTTTCGACCACATTTAACTTTGACACACATGAACAATGAATGTCTTAAATCCCAGACTTACAACTAGTTGTTTCAACTATGACGCTGAGAGGAGATAAGGGAACCATCCCCCAACTATACAGATCACTTATCCGTTCAAAACTAGACTATGGCTCCATCTTCAATTGGGGTCCGTGATAAGGTAAGTGGAATAAAATCCATCAAAGACTGAACCTCGGGTTACCGAGCCGCGCTGCCCTTACAATAAATTACAAAACTGATCTAATGATACCTACACTCTGTCATTTCCCCTTTCGTGGCATCTAGTAGGCTCACACGTAGTTCTCTCATTAACAAAACTAAACATGCTAAACACAAATGAACTAATTTATACTCACGCCAATAATGGTTGTCACCCCAATCACCACCCCAATGCCACACCCCCTCTCCAATAAAAAAATTTGAAGGGGGTGACAACCATTATTGGCATGAGTATATAAGCAAACGCATCGTAAGGATGGGAATGCCACAATAACTCGGTGCGCCTAGTTGCTGCAAGAGTTGTATGCTCCCCAGGGAGTTGAGATTGACAATACGATGTGCCGTTGAGATTGACATCCAGTGAACGAGGGAAAAACAAAGCAAGAGCAAAGAGTCCTTTGCGGAGATTTGCGCTATATAAATGCTATCCATTATTATTATTATTATTATCTACTGATGGAGCCAAGAATGGTAGCACAGTTGCTTGCGCCACTATTATTGAATCCAGTGGCATATCTTGAAGGTTTATCAATGATGACTACACTACAGTTCAATAGAATCAAAAGTCATGCTAACAGTTTTAGAATGCATAAATGTTCGATCTAAAGGTAAACAACTCACCTTCTGATTCTCGCTTCTGTATTCAAACCATTGAAATAAATTCTTGAATTTTATAATGTTATAATGATCTCGCTAATGGCCAATATGACATAAACTGGTTAGCCGGTCACATTGGAATTACTTGAAACGCAGTGGCTGGGACACAGCAACTAATAGCCTCTAAGTAGATGGTACATCAGATACCTACTGTAAACGAAGCGGCACAAAGTACGTATAATTGCATTTTATGCAATAAATCATCTGTTACACCTACTTCTAGTGAAGTTTCAATGAGGAGGTCATGAAACGACGATGCCGTAATGGTCCTTCCAGATGGAATAATAGCTTTGGTGCCTCATAATAATAAATTAAGAGAGACAGAACACATCCATTGAGATAAGATGATCGGAGTGAATAAAAGATGACTAGCCCAAGGAGTATTTTAATGTCAAGGGTATTATTTTAGCTATCTCATAAATTGAAACAGAGCCATTCCATATCCATAAAACGTGTACAATATCGTCAGCACATGCTCGTGAATCATTATATGCGAGTGATGATACCAGTTGTTTGCCTCGCGACAAGTTGAGTGAGTGAGTGAGTGAGTGAGTTAAAATTTAACGTCACATCGGCAATATATGTTAGCCATATCGTGACGAGAACATATTTGACATTGATATGGAATTTGTTGGTTTGTTGCTTAACGCCACACCAAGCAACATTCCAGCTATATGGCGGCGATCTGGCAATAATGGAGTCTGGACCAAACAATCCAGTATTCAACAGCATGAGCATTGATCGACGCAATTGGAATATGATGGCATGTGTCAACCAAGTCAGCGAGCCAGACCACCCGATCCCTATAGTTGCCTCTCACGACAAGCATGGGTTACTGAAGATCAATTCTAACGGGTCTGGATGAAGTCCGTTCGTCTCGCCAGTCGTGCTGTACTATAACATTGCTAAAGGGACAGAATATAACACTCTCATTTATTCCATAGTTTGGGAAAAAACAGTCTGTACTTACACGCGGGTACAATTTGATGAAGTCGGACGTCTTGGAACATCCCCGACTAACTTCGTAATTCTTTTTTCGTCCAGGCCCAGTGTTAACACCACATATGGTTGTACCAAAACCTGACGAGAAGCCGAAATAAGTGCATCTCTTTTGGCACATGCAGCTTACGATGCAATCCTTCAGCGTCACGCCGTATGTAAGCTTTACAGATTTATCAGTGGCTATTTTATAACCCTGGACGATATCTTCGAAGCTGAAGCAAAGACAAACTTGAGGTATTCTGCACAACGTCAGTGTCCAAAGCAGAACACATAGACACACACTTCCTTTCATTATGAAAGATGTCCTACAAGTCTGATGCCTTGGTACTTGAACGTAGACACAATGCATAAGTTATAAGCAGCGTGGATGTATATGACTCTGGATTCTGAATCGATTGAAGTTTCATCGTATTATACATTTTGCATTCCACTACTGGGGACCCGTGAAGATCCGGGGTAGAATAGGTCTTCAGCAACCCATGCTTGCCACAAAAGGTGACTATGCTTGTCGTAAGAGGCTACTAACTGGATCGGGTGGTCAGGCTCGCTGACTTGGTTGACACATGCCATCGGTTCTCATTTGCACAGATCGATGCTCATGCTGTTCATCACTGGATGTTCTGGTTCAGACTCGATTATTTACAGGCCGCCGCCATATAGATGGAATATTTCTGAGTGCGGCGTAAAACTAAACTCACTCACTCACTCCACTTGTGGGTATATACTATATACACTGAACAAAAAAGAAACTTCACATGTACCAAACATACCAATAAAGAACAAAATGAGTTGCTAGTGGAAACATCTGGTTTGCGAACGTAATTAGCATATGCTAAAACAGGATTATGTATTAAGCAGCCCTCTATGCACCTTCCACAGTCAACAGTGGAACAAACATTAAAGTCAAAGCGTTTATTGCATGAAAGGCCATTGGCCTAAATACAAATCATAATTACAATGTGTAAACATATTCAATCTGTTATAATTATTCATTCAGGTGTTCGAGAACGGATTGAGATGGCACAGCACAGGTTAATGAATAAATAACTTTGTCTGTGAACGTGCTTCTCGAACACCTGGCTGTCCCTTTCTCTGCACTCCTCCCTCGTAACAAACAGTGAACTGTGTCAATATTTTAATGATAGTATATTAAACTTTATTATTTTTAGGACATAAATTCTGCAAAAACCTCAGAGTGGGTATGATGTTTTGATTATGATCAGCGTTTCATTGAGTATTTTATGTTTATTAGTTTTCGAGTTAGATTGCAGTAGACCATTCTTAGCCAATATGCATGACCTCGAGGTCAAATCGAAAGCGAGGCTTAAATAGGTTGACCCAACTTTGAAAATGGCGACCTCGAAAAGGAAAGATTACTGCTGTGTGCCTTTGCGTTGGAGTGATGCCCGTAAGGATTTTACGGTATCTTTTCACCATATTCCCAAGAATAAGATCAGAAGAAGGCAGTGATTGACGAAAATACGGAGAGATCCTGGAAAATGATTCATAGTAAGTACAAAATAATTACGACACATGGCATAGTCTAGATCTGCCGTTTAATGTACAAACTGTTCACTATGCAAGGTTTTAATATCAGGGGCACATGTACAATGTGAATGTCACACACACAGACACATTCAAACCCCTGCCCCCCACACACACACACACATTGTCATCATGTTCAATATCAGTGATCACCCTCCTAGTTCATATGTACACAATTGACCCCTCCCCCTGCCTCCCAAAACAAACTGGGAGACACCCCAACCCCCACAAACACCGCACCTAAAATCATCATCACCCCCCTAGTCATAGATTATGAACGGTCCAATATATTTAAAAAAATTAAGCATGTGGACATGTGCAGACACTCTTGTCATGATGGCAAGGGAATTTTATTTGCAAATATTCTGTGTCCGTGAAATTAGATTGGCTGCAAATCAAAGTAACATCTCAAGTACATATACATTTGTATGCAGGACATACACATGCTGTTAAAAATATCTTGAATATGTATCTACTTTCAAAATTACTGCATACTGACCAGTACTTCAGGGATACAGGACATATTACTGGACAATCTAATTACACCAACTGAAATATATTTAGTGTTTAAATATCCATTTCAGATGCTGCTAATTAAGAGTCAGTGAGCATGTCACCAGCTCAGGAACCTCCCGTAAGGAATCTACCACAGTCACCATCTCAGATACAGTAAGAATGTCAGATCGTATTAAGTTAATTTTGCCAACTGACATGGTTTTAAAGAATTTAATACAACTGAACTTTGACCTATATGCTATGTTATTTTCATATAAAAATATTGATTGCCCATACTGTCTAAAATATGAAATGATGTTAGCCTCTATTCCTTGATGTATATTTGTAATTCCAGAGATATAGTTATTGTTTGTGTGGTCGAAGAGATAATAGTGATGCTTTACAATGCTTATATTACAGTGAAGCAGAGAGTGATACAGCAGCCACTGACCCCAGTCCTACATAGAACAACTCCAGCAAAACTTACATGAACAGGGGAGGCAACTCAAGGAAAAGGTTGACAAAATAGAAAAATTGAACAGAAAACTTGAACTTGAAAAGTTTGGAGTTTGTAAATTCATGTATGATGATACAAATTGATTGAACATTTTACAGTATTCCATCATTTCAAACATTGGCACTGATTAGCTGGAACTTTTTCATTTGTTGAATATCTTCCCAGGTTTTGTGAAGTACCTTGCCCAAACAGCACAAAAATTGACAGACATGAATGTAAATGAAATTGTTTGGTGCTTTTGTTTTGTGTAAATGATGGATGAAAAAAGGGACAGCTGTAATATATACACATTGATGGATTTAACTGAATAATAGAAAGGTCTTTCATAATGGCATAGTTGTAAATGTAACTCATTTGCTGCTGTTTAATTAATAATTGATGAAAAAGAATGTATTTCATCCTGTTTGAAAAGAGTTAGTTGGGAATCCGAAAAAAACATCATTCATAGGTAAGAGATTATGATAATGTGTAAGGGGAGAAAACTATGATAAATTATGCATTGATCCAGCTGTAATTGTTGCCATTTATGTCAGACTAATCTAAAAGGATACTTCTATCAACATAAATATTGCACCCAATATATTTTCAATTTGCATCCTCTGAAAATGTTATTGTTATTCATCAGTATTACAGTTGGAAGCTATTGTGAATGTGTCTATTGTTATTGGACTTTTAAGACACCATTTCAAAATAAGTAATTATTAACTGCACTCCAGGTGTTCGTTATTTATTTGGGTTAATTGTTTGCTGTAGTGTGAATCCTGTTATGTTAATCTGATAATATGTTCTCCTTAAAAATGTCTTCAGTTACAGTGGTACAGAATAAATACACCTGATCTACAATAAATCAATTTTATGGTATAGTAACACAGTATTGAAAATTGGTTCAAATATTCCCCATGCAGGTACCACTTGTCCATTTAGGTAAATTAATTATTCACCTTCAAATCAGTCAAGAAAAAACTTGAAAAAAATCATCCAGTTTTGTCTTGCACATTGTGTCCCACCAGAGACCATATAACAGATATGGTCTCTGGTCCCACTCATGTTGATTGAAACAAATAGTTTCTACATGATGATGTGGCGATTCGTTTTTCCTCTGCGATTGTAACATGCAGCTACGCGCACTTCGCCATCACCACTAGTCCTGTACAACTGTAAATAAATGCGTGAATAAATACCCAGTATCTATAAAACAGAGTCGATAGGACGAAACATAAACAGAAAAAATACCAAACAAATAATTTCATGACATGAATAATACAAACAAATTTGTTTGGTCCAGATCCACTCGAGGAGAGCTATCTTGATCTACATATTACTTATAATCTCGATTGTCCAGCTCAAGAATTAACAACACTACTCCCATGTGGAAGTGGATGATTTGAATCCAGGTCAGGAAATACGTTTAGTCTTTTGCTTTGTTCATATGTTGATAAAGTAAACGTAATTGACTTCCCTTGGTAATATTTCCACTATTGTGACTTTAGAGTAGCTTCCCGTCATAAATGCTGCGCAACATGGTAAACGTTAACCTAGATATCTAGGTCATATGACTTATCGTGATGTGTCGTGATGTACAGTAATTATTAACCCTTCAATCCGTGGATATGCTACAGAAACATTTGTGTAGCCCTTTCCCATTTCTCTGCGATTTCCCTGAACTACTGGACAGTTTCGTAATGTACCGTTCAAGGGAAATTTGAAACCAGGAAGTATACATTGAGATTTGTCGCCATTATGCGATTGTGTCCATGCCCCATTTAGCCTCGTTTTGGTACAGATATGAATATTCATGAGGCCTCATTAAGAATGGTCTATACTTATAATGCAAGATGAGAGAAAGTTGCTTCATTTTTTGTAGCCAAGGATGTGCCAAAACGGCAAAACTGACATGATTAGGACTATAATGTTCGCCAAATATATTATTCGAAGTAACTTAAAAGCGGTGATATTTTGATTTCAAAGGGACTGACCATCTGTATTGGAGTGTGTCCAGTACCCCGTGTCTCCTCCCTCTCGCACTCACAACAGCAAGGCAATGTTTTCTCATTGACTGACCAACACCGGTGAAAACGTCATCAAGCAAGCCGCGCCATTGCTGTAATAGCTCTGCGCCCAGCTCTTGGATTGAGTGAGTTAAAATGTAACGTCCCATCGGCAATATTTCAGCCATATAGTAACAAGAAAAAACCCTGGTTAAACTATAAGAAGTATATGTGAGTGAGTGACAGGACCATGAACTATTAGCAAGTTATCACAAATCGAGTCTGAAAACTAACCATTTCAAATGATTAAATTCCTTATTCAACACAAAGATAAATATTGCATATTATGCCATTAAAATACGAGCTATTTGGTCACAATATCACACTGCATTGTTCCCAAGTTCCCAAACCTTAACGCTTTGCCACAGAGTAAATCAACTTTCTTTACGCAGCACTGGGCATGCGTTCACCACTGCGACGCCATGCTCGCACACTTCCGTCAACAAATCGCAGCGTAAAACATGATTCATCACAAAACACAACCCCATACCAGTGCAGGTGCATTTATGCGTAGACGGTCATTTTGGTTTACCTGTGCCAGATTGGCCCAATGGGCACGTAGATGGGTAGGGGCGTAAGGTCCGAAGAGTTACGAGACCCTTAAACAGTGCGTTACTGGTTGACGTTGCGGTCGTAAAACGATTACGCAACTGACGTAGCCGACTTTGATTGCCTTCGGCATATGCTGTCACACGTGGCTGCCTTACCTGGACGATCAGATGACCCGTTTTATGCACACGTGCTGTGAATTGTCTACTGCATCTCATGGAACGTGCATCAGCCACAGTCTGGAGCATGCCAATTGCATGTTCAACATTTGTAAGGCGTGGCATGATAATTGCTGTTGGTGGTCTGACATGGGGGTGGTGGTTACGTCATCTCACACACGAGCAGAGTCGTGTTTTCACAAAAGAGCATGCTGTATGCACCCCACGTACCACAATTAGAATTGGCGGATGCGTCATGTCAAACCTGGCCATTATGGTATTCGCCCAAAACAACCTTGTACTAACCCTTCTCAAAACAATTCATTTCTCCAAATGCGATGTTTTTTGTTTATATACAATGTGTTCTTAACGCCACAATAAGCAAAATGTTACAGCTATGTCACGGCGGCCTGTAAATAATCGAGTCTGGATCAGACAATCCTGTGATCAACATCATAAGCATCGATAAACTCAGTTGGGATACGATGACATGTGTCAACCAAGTCAGTGAGCATGACCACCCGATCCCGTTAGTCGCCCCTTAGGACACGCATGGGTTCTGAAAACGAATTCTAACCCGGATCTTCACGGGTTGATATATAAACGGAAATATTTGAACATTGGGGGTGTAATTGACAGAAATCCTCATCTGACTTGTTGCCATGACGACAGTGTTTACTACACATGGCAGCCAAGTAGGTATTGGTTACACCTACCTGGGGTGTCAGTCCAGATGTGATGAGGTCAACTTGCGGAGATGTCGCATTGGCCATACACGATACACTTATGAAGACTTAATAAAAGGCGAGGACCCTCCGTTTTGCAGACCTTGTGATGAATGAATCACGGTGGAGCATGTCCTGCTTGACTGTGTTGATTTTAGTCCCAAGTAGGTGTAACCGATATTTGGTTTAATTTGATGTAATTTATTCATACCTACTTGGGTTCACAACTTCTTTTGCATTAGAACACGGATGTACGATCTAATGATACCTTTGTAATCAGAGATCAGATGTGGTGTCACATGTATGCTGAGTGCTGCTTTAGCAGCAAAATCCGCCATTGTGTTACCAGAAATTCCAACATGCCTGGGTAACCAACATACGACAATGTCATATTGGCCCATGTCATATTGGTTTTAGGCTGCTTTCCAGAAAAATACTAGAAATTGGCTTCACACATTGTACACATGTTGGGAATCGAACCCCGATCTACAGCGTGACGAGCGAACGCTTTAACCGATAGGCTATCCCATCGCCACTCTGAGACAAAGTCTTAGACCTTGGTGGTTGCTCTTACAGACTCCACTATATACAATGGGGCCGTAGTCAAGTTTCCAGCGGGCGAGTGATCGGTGTAGGTAAGAAGGGTAGTTTGGTCCCCTCCCCACTTAGAAACGACATTTCAAAAGTCAAATCATAATTAAAAAATAAGTCCCACGACATTGGCCTCCTTAAAACCTTGATGGGTGTGCCATTTAAAAAATAGTTCAGGTTCCTTATGAGGCTTATATTTTTTTATATAATTAAACCCGTTTTCAACTGACCATTTGTTAATTTTATTATGACATAACTGTAACTGCCTCTCGATTGCAGTTCCTGAAGTGCATATTGTATCAAATACAAATATCAATTTAGCAGTGTTTCCAGACATGATTCAGGCAAATGTTTCAGGAGCTTATAATGAATATTATCAGCCCCTGTTGCTGTGTCATGAGCTTGCCCAAGGGCCTTATGTACCTCATGTAGTGAAAATAGTTTATTCAATCTTCACCATTGTCTGAGTTAAAAGTAGTTCTTTTCTTCTCCTGTTGTTTCTGATGTTTCTGGGCCTGTGAAGGTCCGGGTTAGAATATTGATCTTCAGTACATGCTTGTCGTAAGAGGCGACTAACGGGATAGGGTGGTCAGGCTCGCTGACTTGCTTCACACATGTCATCGGTTCCCAATTGCACAGATCGATGCTCATGCTGTTGATCACTGGATTCTCTGGTCCAGTCTCGATTATTCACAGACCACCGCCATATAGCTGGAATATTGCTGAGTGTGGCGTAAAACTAAACTCACTCACTCTGATGTTTCTGAAACTCAGGGACATAATTGGATGAAGAAGATTGTTTGGCTAGAGTTTCACCAAGGTTACTGACAATGTCAGACTTATCAGTTAATAAATTGTCACCTTCCTTCAGATGGTGGACAGTCGATTTGGAACCTTTGCCCTTTTTCCTTTGTATCATGTTCCATAACTTTGAAGTTGGTGTGCGGGAATGTATTTTGGAAACATAATTCCTTCTAGACTGACGCTTATTGTGTTTAAATGTGTGTAACTGAACAATGAACAGCAGCCTTGGCACTTAAAATTTCAGCTTTATGGCCTGTGTCTAGACCATGGTTTACAAATATGTGGAATAGCAGGGGAAGTAGGAATTTTTTTGTCAGCAATGACAGTTACATGTAGTATATCCGAAAAAAGACTGTATGGGATCTTCACTGTTCCTGAAAATAATATAATGACCAATTAGCCTCATTGTGAACCATCCATTCAAATTCATTATATAAGATGGAAGCGGTGAGTGCCAGATCTAGGGCGGAATATTTTCCAGTAGATAGGGATGGAACAGTATGATAAATATATCTATAGTTTTAAGATATGTTTCATGAGGGCAAATTGCGGATGGATGAAAATCATGTATTAATAATTGTACTTCGTTGAAGTTATTTTTAAGTCCTCTGCATTGTATTATGTTAACCAAGTGAGTCAAGGTCGCTCAATTGCCTACCGTTCTCGTGAATGTGAGGAGGAGCTATTCCTCCGCCTGTCCTGAGTAACCACCATATGTAGAGGTCCAAATGAGTTTCGTAAAGGGACCTGTGATGATGAAGGGACAACTAATGTTTTTTCTTTATTTAGTTTCTCTACTTAGTATTTCCCTTTGTCGACGTTGGTTGTGAAACAGACGTTGGTGATGTTGTTTCGGGTTCAGTTCCATCTGTCCGAGAACCAGACGTAGATTGACAGACTGGTACAGTAGATTCATTGGCTGCAGCAGGGGGAATCTGCTTTTCTTCCACTGACAGGGCGACTGACTGTAGCAACGTAGGTAATGTAGCCGCACCAGCACATCACACCAGTACTAAACTCCCTCCACTGGCTCCCTATCCATAAACGGATCAAGTACAAAGTCCTATCCATCACCTACTCCACCCTGAACGATCCACAATCACCACAATATCTCAAATACCTCATCTATCACTACCAACCTAACAGAACTCTCAGATCACAGAGCAAATGCCAAGTCTCAGTGCCAGACTCTAAGACAGCCATGGGGACCAGAGCATTCTCAGCCAACACTCCTATTCTCTGGAACTCACTTCCTATCAAACGTAGATCCTGCACTTCACTAGACTCTTACAAGAATCGGCATTAATGGGTACAACAAGGACTGGTCGGCTCAGAGTCAGTATAATGTGTCTGAGTGGGGTGTTCATGCTTCACTGCGGCATGGTATCTCAGTGGGCTAGCACTATATAAAACCAGCTTAAGTCTGGGCTAGTACAAGCAGCCGCACATACACATACATAGGCATGCACGTCGTCATATGAGCGAAATATTCTCAAGCACGACGTAAAACCCAATTTCACCTCACCTCACCCCTTTCAAGAAACAACTGAAAACCTTCCTATTTCCACTGACCCTGTAAAAGCGCCACTGAGCAGCAATGGTTGGACATTAGGCACTCAACAAGTGCATCACTATTATTAATGTTTGACGCAGCTGAAGTTTGATTTGTTAGCATGTTTAGGGCATCCAGGTACGAAATATTTTTCTCACATTTGAGTTTCATATTGTTGTTCTCCCATTGCCACACCCGGCAGGATTTCCATGAAGCGGGACGTGCGTCATCCCCCTAAGCACACTTGTACTCTTTGCGGCAGTCAAAACCGTCAAAGCGATCGCCACAACGATGAGTTTCAGCAAGTATTTCCGTATCTGATATGTTGACATTTATAACATCGCAATGGCTTGGGTATATACACATCCACTCCGATATTGAAATAACCTGCTTTAATAAATGTTTGAAGCAATAAAGGAGAAAACGTCAATAGATATGTATTGGTTTTCGTACTGATGCCATCTTTCTTAATGGTAAAATCTTTACTGCTGAAACTCTGCACCTCTGCAGCAATGTCTTCTTCTGACATATCGGAGAGACATTATACTCTGTCACAGATGATGCATCGACAGGAGTTTAGTGTTCTGTCCGCAGAAACATCAACCTCTATTATTGCATTTGTTTTGGTAAATTGAGAGAGCGTTGTTTCTGTGAACATTCCACTAAAAGTGAACCACTACAGAGACGGGTAACATTCTTGACCTCTCCACAAATCCCAGAAATAGCCTTTGAAATGGCAAAAGGATTCAGTTTGATGGGAAGGTGTTCCGGTTTAGAAAGTACTGAGACAAAAAGCTTGTGAATCCACTTGAAACCAACAAAATAAAACAAATACGATTCTATAATATTAAATTGTATATTGAATAAACAAGATTACAATGAATAACAAAATAACAATTCCTAATACGATACTATTGAATCACAAATCTAAAATATAGGGTCACAAATCTAAAATATAAACTTACCAAATTATTGATATTCGCAGTAAAACAGTTGTTCTGATTGAAGATTGTTGACAGCAGTTGAAAGTTCAGTGCAGACGAGGCCTCTTGAGTGCTGGGTGAGATTAGCGTAAATCCAGAGCACCGGGGGGACATACATATCAGCAACCAACCCTTATATACCTAACCTCTTTGTATTCTAATATCAGACAGGAAATGTTTCAAACTATAAGCAGAATTTGTAACATTAGATCACCAACAAACGTAGATGTACTATTAAATGGGAGTGCAGATCTTCCGTACAGTGACAATATTCAAATTTTTAAAGAAGTTCAAAAATATATATCCAACTCCAAAAGGTTCAGTAATTGGATATAATGTTTATGATCTAAATAGTTCATGTATTAATTGTATTGTATATATCCTTTTGTATATATCTTTCTAACCCTGTACATATAGTTTGTTTCACTTTTGCATGTAAGCACTTTAAATAGGAGAGGGTTTCACTAAGTTGGCATAACTTGTACCCAATCCATTCTCTTGAATAAATATGTTTACATCAAATATACCTAACCTACATTTCCATAGAATTCCAAAAGCCACGCCACAGCACCACCATCTATATATTGGAATCTCACCGTCTTCCACCGAAGACCTGATGCAAAACAAACAAAGTGAGGCTAATCCTAAGTTTACTCTTAACAGAGCCTACGTTCAAGATACAGTTTGAATCCACATTCAGAGCTTTAAACTTGTGAAACTTATAAGAGCTAAAAGTTCATTAATGTGATATTATAATTCACAAAAAGATATCCTCATAACAAAGAAAATCCACTGTTTCTATCTCCAGGGACCGAGGCCATGAGTCAACGCGTTTAGGATTTTGTTCAGTTGAGTGATCTATTTCGTTTCATTTCATGACAGGATGAATCAGCTTGTTATTGTGACATGATGAAAGGAATGTGATTCAGCACCCCTGCTCCCCACCAACAACGGAGTGTCAAAAAGGACAGCGTCAAATAGCAAAGGATATCCAAGAGACTGACACCAGGGATACAGGGGTGTTATACTCCAGAAATTACTACATCGCTTCGACCCTTACTTCATCTGGACGGGAAGCAGAATTGGCCTGTTCAATCATTCGGTCATGTTAGGCCCAATAATACTATAATTTCCCAGGGGCAACACTGCCCAGAAGACGATG